ATAATAAGTGATAATGACATTTTCCTTGGTGATTTCCAAGGGTCAAATAGTCCCTTAAAAGTAAACACACTGATGAATAAAGAGAAATGAAAAATAAAAGATTGTGTTTTAGTATAAGAACGTGTATACATTTGGGGTAGTGAACCTCCAAAGAATTTAAACCGTTAAGTATAAAACGTTTTATGCTTTCGGTAGTAAATCCCCTAAGAGATTAAATCAGCAAGCATAAAACATTGTATACTTTTGGTAATGAACCTCTTAAGCATAAAACGTTTTATGCCTTTGATAATGAATCTCTAAAGAGATTAAACCATTGAGTATAGAGCGTTTTATACCTTTGGTAATGAACCTCCTAAGTATAAAACGTTTTATGCCTTTGGTAGTGAATCTCCAAAGAGATTAAACTATTAAGCATAGAGCGTTTTATACTTTTGGTAAGGAACCTCTGAAGAGATTAAGCCATTAAGTATGAAAGAGTTCCTTTCTTATATTTGAACCACAATGTTAATTTTTCACAACTTTTTAATCGAAATAAGCAAAGAATGGAGGGAGGTTGCAGAGATGATTATGCGAAATTGATTAATTGGTTAGTACAAACAAACTTGATACATAAAACATAATGGTGAAGGTTGGGATTAAAGTTCAAATTCCATCTCTCTTACTGAGGATTCTGTAAGAAACACATTCTAATTGTCATCATCGGGTAATCAAAAGAAAGCGCCCAAGTCTTAGGGTCGGTCAAAATGGGGTGTCTACACTCCCCCAAACTGTATTGAACGCAGAGTGTCTCTCTATCTCTCTCCCTCTCTTCTATTTGCTTTTGAAGAACCCTAGGCTTCTACATTCCTTTTGATTAGAAGCCAAAGAATTCATGTATTTTGAATTTTTTAATTTGGAAAAAAAAATTCTAATATAATTTTTTTTGTGATTGGCACTAGAAATTTTATTTTGGCACTAATTTTTTTTGGTCATACCATTTAAGACAAATTGTGCACCTCAAAAAGTGCAATATTTTTAATGGCTAGTGCTCTGTGCACTATCAAAAGTGCAATACTTTTAACGGCTAGCATATGTGTGTCGTATATAGTTGTTGTATTAATGACATGCCATGTGCATGTAATAGAAAGTTTTATTATTTACGGCTAACATTGCAAGCCATAAAAAAATCAACGTTATTAGCATTCACAGCCTACACAATAGACACACCATGGTTGAAAAATTATTTACGACATGCAAAAAAATCAAGTCATGAAAGTGAGAAACTACAGCTTGCATTTATTGTATGTCATTGATGTGGTGCCGTAAAAAATCAATTTTATTGTAGTGAGTTAAGGTACTGTGGCTCGCCTTTTTCGCTCTCCCTTTCGGAAGCTCGAAAGAAAGCCCTACAGTTCGGACTCCCACAGTTCTGAATCTAATCTCACAAGTGCAATGTGAAATTGATAAACACCAAAGAGTCCAAATTCGACAAACCTTTTGAAAAATCGATTTTTGAATAAAAAATGTCAAAATTGGATTACTTTGCCAGATACAGATTTGCCAACTAAAGATTTTATTTTCGAAAAATTTAGGAAACCCATGACTCGTGCCAAAGGTCACGTATCCATCATCACCAAAGTTGCCTTGGCTCGGGAACTTGGGTACGATTGGGGAAGGTCACTTCATGAGCACCCCTGTTTGCCCGATCAAAGATCGGCCTCTACTAACCATGATATCGAGTTTTGAAAACATTATGTGCTCTTATTCCGGTTAATAGCCTAGAATTACTATGTGATGCACACAACATACAAGTATAGACTGGATCATTTGAGTTGGAACAAAGCATCGCATATCCGTTTGTTTTGAAAATGGATTGAAGTTTGCTACTCGCAAGTAGGCTAAAACACGGGTTTCGACGAATTATTCCCGTGGAGAGGACGAATCTGTCTTAAGGACACAGTGTTAAACACTGGACTTGATCAGAAAAGTTATTCAAATAAATTAACCAAGTAAGTTGTTTAATTTTATTCTGTTTTTTATTATGTTTATTTAATCAGATTTTATTTTTGTTTTTGTAATAAAATAAAATCTGTGGTTTTATTTATTTGTTTTTATTTCGAGTTTGATTTTTGTAATCAAACAAATTCTCTCCTTTTCTCTATTTCTTTTATTCTTGTTGTTGTTTTGTACACAACAGAATTTAATCTTTTTAAATACAGTGAAGTTTGTCCAACATTTTGTTCTTCATTAATTGGAGGTTTCATTTGTATAAAATGTGTAATTAATGATCTGAAATACAGATCGGAAATAAGAACCTGCTATTCAAATAATCAACACTGTTTAGTCCAAAAACTAAACAGTGGACATTTATAACATAAGTTTTGAAATGTCTTGAAACACTTCATGTTTTAAAATTTGTGTCTACACCATCGAACATTGACACACCGGGAAGACCGTCCACCTTAGGGTTCATTTTTTCAGGGGACTTCCAATGCAAACGAAATAAACCATTAGGTGTCACAAGAAAAGAATGTGAAGTTTGAGTTTTAAGGAAAAACAGGCCTTGAGAAAAAATGATATTTGCTTGAGAAAAAATCTACACAATTAAACAATTCTGACCATACATTTGTTTGTTATATACATATAAAATGGTGGGGTTGGGGGTGGGGGTGGGTGGGGAATAATTTTGCCCACGTTCATATTTCAATAAACAGTCTAATTTTTCTCAAAACATGGTTTTTTTTTTTCATTTTTTCAGAGGAATAAATGTACACCTCCGACTAGAAGGGATCAAATCCCATTTCTTTTGGATTGTGATAATTTCCATTCTATATTTGTAACGAAAAGATTTATTTCATCATCCGACGGTGATTTTAATGATTTCTTTTAATTTAAATTAATTATAAATTTATATTCTTATTTCATAGCCATTAGATATGTAATGAAAATATTCCATTACATATATAAAATGAAGAGGATCAAAGCCCATTTCATTAACATTAAAAATGTAAAAATTACCTAATGACTAATTAATAAGATTATGTAATTGGCAACCTTGGCTCAAGCAACAGCAGGATCGTAGTGTTGCCCAACGTTCTAGAACTGGTTATAAAACCCAGTAAGTCGTCATCACAAGCGATTAAAATCAAGTCACCGTCTTCATCTTTATACTTGATGTGATAAGTTTCAGGATCCAAGTTCAGCCTCCGAGCCACTTCCTGCCACAACTCCACCAAACCCGATGATGAAGACAACGGAAACTTTATTACAATGTCATTTCCATATTTAGCCTTTATAGTCACGATTTCTGCATCTTTCGTCGCTGTATCATGTGGCTTTGTGAGAGTAACTATATTCCCCGCTTGATTAGAAGACAGATCAGGATCCAATTTTTGGATTTGTTTCTCATCAAAGAGCTGAGAGCAACTAAATTTTGGTCTCTTGGAAGGTGGCCACTTCTCAATACCATAACCCCTACAGACACGCTTCAATGCAGATTTGCTTACTGCAAAAGGAGAATACAACTAAATTTATTTCTCTACTACCAGTGTCGGTCTAGTTGAAAATAAATAACTAACAAGATCACGAGCAACATTATATTTAAATTTCTGGGACTGTAAGCTTACCATTGAGTCTACATGCAGCATCATTGAGGCTCATTTCTGAAGCTTGTAGGAGGTCCTCAATAGGAATTGCAATTTTAACTCCAGTTTTTTTGTGTTCTCTTTCTGACCTCTTTATTATTGCGTCTTTTTCATGTGAACAAGTAACAGCAATGTTGCTTTGTTCTGCACTGACAACATTCGTAATATTTAAGGCATCCATTGATTGTTGATCTGATGAATCCAGCTGCATCATCTGATCATCTCCATTTTGTAAAGGTCCAGGTCTAGGCAGGGATCTTGTAATCTGGAATAATTGAATAGAATCGAGTTTCTCATTATTCTGAAAAACCAATAATTGCAACAGATAACAATTCAATTGTGGGAATTGTTTCCTGATTAACACATGGCCAAGAGTGACTAACCTTCCTGCTGCCTGCAGATTTAAATGCAAATTGGCTTGCTGCAAATGGAACAATACAGATAAGAGAAACTATTTCCAGTTTGCTACTACCTAAAGCTCAATATTTCTCTACCAAAGAGAGTCTGTCTAGTTGAAAATAACAAGCAACACTACTATTTTAATCTCTGAGGTATTTGGTTCATTGGAATGAAGTGCAATGGAATGAATCATTCCATCAAAATATTTATTCTTACATTTGGTTTACTAAGATGGTGATGAAAAATGCATTGTAAATGAAATCATTTTTCACTATTTTTAGGGAATGATGGCCATTCCATAAGAAGACTAAAGGAATGATCATTCCATTCTACTTCATTCCAGTGAACCAAACGAAGCATGAGAGGGTAAGCTTTTACCGCCGTGGTGCTCTGCAGCACCCTCAAGGCTCTCTTTTGAAGTTTGTAGGATATGCTCTGAAGGCATTGCACTTCTAACACCAGTTTTTTTGTCTTCTCTATATGGCATCTTCATTGTGCCTTTTTCCTGTGAACAAATAACAGCCCCTCCACTCTTTGTGGCATCCCTTGATTGTTGATCCGATGAATCCAGTTGCATCATGTCACCTTCATTTTTTAAGGGTTCAGACCTAGGCAAAGATCCAGTAGTTGGGGATATTTGAACAGAACTCCCACCATTCTTGTTTATCTTGTTTATATGGCGAGGTGGCCACCTTGAGATACCAAGTTTCCTACAAGCGCGCTTCAATGTAGATATGCTAACTGCAAAAAAAGAATAGAATAATCCATATAAGAGAAACTACTTCCTGTTTGCTACTGCAAAAAGCTCAAATATTTATCCACAAGACGCGTCTGTCTGGTGCCTAGTTGAAAATAGCAAGCAAGATCACAAACAACATCATATTTAAATTACTGAGTGTGTAAGCTGACCATGGAGGCTATTTGCAGCATCTTGGATCCTCATTTCCGAAGTCTGTAGGATATCCTCAATATGAATTGCATTTCTAACTCCCGTGTTTTTGTGTTCTCTTTCTGACCTCTTTATTGCGTATTTTTCCTGTGAACAAGTAACACCGATGTTGCTTTGTTCTGCACCGATGTTTATGGCATCCATTGATTGCTGATGTTGCATCATGTCACCTTCATTTTGTAAGGGTTCAAGCCTAGGCAGAGATCCAGTAGGCAGAGATCCGACACTAAATTTTGTTATCTTGGAAGGTGGCCACTTCTGAATATCATAATCCCTACAGACACGCTTCAATGCAGATTTGCTAACTGCAAAAAGAGAATCCAACTAAATTTATTTCTCTACTGCTAGTGTCGGTCTAGTTGAAGATAACTAGCAAGATCACAAGCAACATTATATGTAAATTTCTGAGACTGTAAGCTTACCATGGAGGCTATTTGCAGCATCGTTAAGGCTCATTTCCGAAGCTTGTAGGATACCCTCAGGAGGACTTTCAATTCTAATTCCAGTTTTTATGCGTTCTCTTTCTGACCTCTTTATTGCGTATTTTTCCTGTGAACAAGTGACAGCAATGTTGCTTTGTTCTGCACCGACAACATTCGTAATGTTTATGGCATCCATTGATTGTTGATCCGATGAATTCAGTTGCATCATGTCACCTTGCTTTTGTAAGGGTTCAAGCCTAGGCAGAGATCCAGTAGTTGGGGATATTTGAACAGAATTCCCACCGTTCTTGTTTAGCTGGTTTATATGGTGACGTGACCACCTTGGGATACCAAACTTCCTACAAGCGCGCTTCAATGTAGATATGCTAACTGCAAAAAAAAAAAAGAATCGAATAATCCATATAAGAGAAATGGCTCTCTGTTTGCTACTGCAAAAAGCTCAAATATTTATCCACAAGAAATGTCTGTCTAGTGTCTAGTTGAGAATAGCAAGCAAGATCACAAACAACATTATATTTAAATTACTGCGAGTGCAAGCTGACCATGGAGGCTCTTCGCAGCATCCTCAATTGTCATTTGTGAAGTTTGTAATATATCCTC